TCGCTCTCTCTCTCTCTCTCTCTCTCTCTCTCTCTGCACCCTTCTGCCTTCTGCAGGTTGCCCTGGCTCTGGAGCTCTTTGTTTCTGATGAACAGTCACCAGCCACATCAACCTGCCTAGTGTTTCACTGGTTGTTGTGTCTTGTTGGTTTTCTTTTCTTTGCTACGTGTATGTTACCACAGTCTTGGTGCCGCAGCCATCCAAGGAGATGTGTGCAGTCAAGTGTGTGCTGTTGTAGGTGATGGGACACGTGGAGCTATTGGGCTGCAGTTCGTTCAGGTTGATGTTTCTCAGGGAGGTAAGAGGGAGCACCAGCGTCATCTCCATCTTGTCACACCTCAGCTCTGCAGGTAGACAGAGCAGATTCTTAGATCATTAATACTTTTACACCCACACATAAATGTATATTATATTTTCTCAACCTGTTCCAGCAGGTAGTGCCTTCATTTCCCCTGAAAATGTTAAGAAAAGACATATTTTAGTAGTCAGTAATTAATAGTCAGTATTTTCTGAGAAACCCTGTTGTAAGACTAGGAGTGGTATATTGTGAGCTACAGTAAAGCATTCTTATGCTGTTTGTAGTGAGAGGAAGTTCTTACTTTGGAATAGCCACACGCATCTGGGCTCTGACTGTAAACTGGAAAGACAAAAAGTGTAAATCATGAATTGTATGTAATTTTCCATCCAAATGAGAAATACTGCTTTAAGAAGAGACATGCCTGGAGCACACTGATGAATTTGCTGCTTTTAATGGTGCAAACTGATTAGACTACTGTAAAGTTTTGACACTCCTGTGCCTTCATCAGAATCATACAGTTGCCACTGAGTATATTTATTAACCATACCAGTGGTTTCTAGCCAACAGGATGGCCTTTGCTTAGGCCCATGTAGTGGTGCCTATTAAATTACTGGACATGCATTCTAGGATAAGTTTGGTTTTGTGTACCATCCCTTAGTTATAGTCCTAGGATGAGGGGCATCCCATGGTGCAGAGCTCCTCTCCTCTCCTCCCACCTCCCCTCTCCATTTTATTTTTATATGCCACCATTACATGTCATGTATGTCATTAACTTTGTGTCTCCTCTCTCCCATAGTGTGTCCTCTCTCTCTCCCTGTACCCTTCTGCAGGTTGCCCTGGCTCTGGAGCTCTATGTTTCTGATGAGCAGTCACCAGCCACATCAACCTGATCAGTGTTTGATTGTTTGTTGTGTCTTAAAATTGTTGTGTTTGTTGTGTCTTGTTGCTTTTCTTTTCTTTTGTCTCTCCTCTATCCACTCACCCCAACCGGTTGAGGTAGAAAGCCACCCACCAAGAGCCGGGGTCTGTCGGAGGTTTCTTCTGTTAAAGGGAGTTTTTCCTCCCCAGTGTCATCAAATGCTTGCTCAAGGGGGTTTTGTCTGGTTTTTCCTCTACAATAATGTGGTCTAGGAATTACTTTGTAAAGTGTCCTGAGATGGCTTTTGTTGTGATTTGGTGCTATATAAATAAAACTGAATTGAATTGAAACAATCTAATTTGTTTGCACAGTAAATTTGTATCTGGCAACTAATAAAATGTCAGGTAAATATGAATACTTCTACCTAAAAGGGGCATTCTAGTGCACTTTACATCGCTGTTTTTAGCACAATACTACTAGTAACTGCAACATACAGTAGTATATTCTATACTAAAAACAAAGGATAACATTATATGTATTCTCTTAAAAAATGTTCTGTTTCAGATTATACCTAGAAAATCAGAAATACCTGAGGCCATCTTTTCATACAAATTTAATATAATTTTCCAGAACTTTTTGTCTACTGTAATACCTTAAACATATTAATATAACTAAAAGTAACTGTCCATAAACAGAATAGGTTACTTGGTTTAGTACATCGCTCATTACACGTTTGATGAGGCAACTTGGTCTCAACACCTCCTCCCTGTTCAGGGGGACATAGACTGTGAATCACCTAGCTACTGTATCTCTGACAGCACTAGTGGCATTCAATTCACAGAACAACCTACCTGTTGGTGTTCGCAGCAAAGCAGATTGGCAAAAGGCGGGCCAGTTTATTTCCAGACCTGACCCAGGACATGGTCATCATTGCCAGAGGGCCAACTAATTGGAAGCCAACCCTGTAGAGTTCAGGGGGACCAACCACTGCTACTTCCAAAACACTGTAAACACAGAGAGAAAACTTCAATCTCAACTCCAAAATCACTAATTCCTATATATAATATACATTCAGTCATTCACTCAAAAATGAGTACTAAAGTGAAATTGCAGACATTTCCTAATCATCATCATTTTCCAAGATTAATGTTCTCATCTGTAAGATGTGCGTTGTGGGATTGTTAGCAGAAAGTATTGCACACAGCAAAGACACTAGTGTTCTGCATTAAACTAGAATTTTTTTAGGGCACTGTATAATTGATAGATTTACACACTCAGCATTTAGATGCTATGACAAAATGATGACCACATTATTAAGTAAGTAGTGAGTGATTTCGGACCCATTTGAAGCTTAGGCTCTGGGAAACTAAGATTTTCGGGCATTTTACTGACCAAACAATCAGTTAAAAATAACCAGTAGTTGCTCCCCTAGTTACGCATTCCTAGCAATTCATAACCATTTGAAGTCAGATGCAAACAGCGTACAGCTACAAGAAAATTAGCCTAATCTATTGTATTATGTTAATACTGGATTTAAGTTTGATGTAACATCCAGAAACTAGTACTGCTGTGGACCAGTTTGTGCCACTGGAATAATATGTAGCGTTTTTATGTGTAAGCACAAAAAACATTAATTCAGATGACAGTGAAAGGTCAAAACAGGACATACCTTTCCAGTTGTGACATAAAGTTGACATTGAATTTCACCTGCTGGTATGGCAGGGCAAGCAGCATGGTGTCCTTTTTGGGGGTTCCACCAGTTACTATAGGTTCATCACTGCAGCTGGTAGTTGACTCCTCCACTGGAAAAAAAGAGAATAAGAGGTATTTCAGTAACTCCAAATTATAACAAAAAACAAGAGAAAAACTATAACAAGAAGAACTAAAATGGGACACAGCAATATGTTTGCTCCATAGCACTAAATCATACATAGACAACATCAATACCAGTGAGAGAGAGGTGTGCAGGGATGGAGCTGAGGGGTGGGCTGTCTGTGGTAAGGCTTATTTGGCGTGAAGGAATCAGGTCTTCTACCATCAGGTAGATGAAATATTGTCCTGCTGGTGCTTCTCCAGTGAATGTCAATATACACTCCTCCTGGTAAAAGAGTTTAACCAAACAGCAAGCAACTATGACATGTTTTCACTGAGCAGAAATACTTTCACAGAGCAATGCCCACAATGAGGTCTGTGGGTTATTCATAGTAACTGGAGAGGAAGAATATACAACAATGTTATAGCATATCTTAAAAAAATAAAAGAAAAGAAAGTTTACTTATACCGCCAGAAAAATGAATTTTAGTTCATTTTTGCAATATTGATTGATTGATTAAATAACTGTGTTTTGTTACTGTATGTACTGCTTAAGAAAATGCTCAAGTTAGATTCACCTTATGCAGTTGTATAAAGGGGTACGGAGTACAGTCAATACACTCCCCCTGTTCAGGCTGGGCTAAGCGGCACCGCACCTTGTCCCCATCCAGGTCTTTTACAGACAAACGGAAGTCATGCGAGCAGTTCACACGGGCCCTGAACACAACATGAATCATAAACAGAGATAATCAGCTCCTCAAATTGCAAATGCATTAACAATAAGTGAGAAAAAACTAGATATGGTCAAACATACAACAGAAAACAAGGTGTAAAATATTGCAGTATTTATGGGGCCAGTAATTTTCCTGGAGTTTCCACTGGTTGAAACAATGCCCATAAAATACCAAATTGTTGTTTTTACATTCTGGATTTTGTACAGATTAGTCAGCCTTAGAGATGCTGGAAGACAGATTTTGTTATTTTGGGACAGTCAGGCTACAGGTGGTTCCCTATTTACAGTCTTTATGTGAAGCTAAAGCTGCTGGTGGCCGCAAAAAAAGCAAGTAAATGTAGCCTTTTCTCAAAATTTGAAACTATTCCTTTAGGTATTAGCAGAGACATTCTCCCATTACTTGTAATTAAAGTTCAAGCATTGGAATAAGAAAACAATGTTTAATTACAACGACAATAATGGATTCTTTGGGTCATTTAGGGCAGTGGAAACAATTTGTGAAGACAACATTGACAATCATCACCATTTAAAATTTATATGGCAAACATGTTAGCTTGTTAGCTAAACAGTTGCTTATTTACATATCCAGTAGATACAAAGTAACAATGTTTTGAAGTTGTGTTTCTCTCCACCTGTCAAATATAAGTCCAATGTTCACTTTCTATTACCTGTTTTTGGTCACTACCAAATTTTGAAAGAAATATCGGGATCTTTAGTGACTAGATGTTCACCAGCTAGTTGCTAACTGTGGCTCTCTGCTGTTTGGTAATATACAACGGGATTTTAGCAATTTTTCAATGAAGACAGCTTCCTGCTATGACTGAAAACGATGCTATGAGAGTGGTGAGCATGAACCAAACACTAAAGCTGCAACCAGATAGCTTAACAATATGAGCTGAAACTCACTGCAGTCTTTATGTGAAGCTTAACAATATGAGCTGAAACTCACTATAAAGCTCATTACAACTAAGCTGCAAATTGGGTGATAATGCTCTGTAGGTTCATCACTACAGATGAACCCCTTTTACACTGTACAACTGTTTTTACACTCTCATTTGAAATTGTTAATATAAATAAATTAGTTATAGCCACTTTTAGGCTATGGCTTTTTGCCATGGCGGCCTTTTCCAAAAGCATCGAAACCGCCATATAATTTGAAACCTTTAAAACCTATTTTATATAAGGGGTTTTCAGTATCCTTGACTAGTTCAACCCTGTGTAACTTATATTTCATTCTTAAAGCCCTCATCTTCCATCAGCTTTATTTTGGGGTCAGTGAGCTATCTCCTTTTATGCATTTTTGTGCAAGTGGGTCATAGAGGGGCAGTCAGAAAACAAGGACACAGAAAGGGAGACACCTAAGACAAATGTCACCAGACTTGAACCAAAGGCATCGTGCACATGATGTGCAGCTGTACATGGCGCTTGTTGAAATCATTCAGCTGTCAAGGCACATCCTTTTTACATATTTTTTTCCACAGTTTTCATTCAATTCATTTGACTATTTACAACACTGAGTCTAATGTCTGGATTCAGTAGTTTCTTACAACAAATGGTTATTTTGGAGACTGTGTGTCCATTACCTTAATGGAGGAAAGAGACCAACATAAGGAGGCTGGTTGAGTTTCCTGCCGTTTGCCCGAACCACTGGTCCTGCTTTCAGTGATACGTACATTTTTGTGTTGTTGGACCTAAACATTTGAGAAAAAGTATGGATTCGAGTACTGAAATTCCTTTTATTGATTTCCCTTAGGGCCTGATAGGTTGATTTGAATTGTGATATGACCTAAAACAAATAACATACTAGATCAATCAAAGAAGACAAATATTAAGTAGAACAAAGTACAACAGAAGCTTGAAGGACTTGTTGCACACACACAGTACACAGTGCATTATGCCTACAGGAATGTTAAACAAATAAAAGCACTGAGCACCACACAGGTCCTGAGACACTAATCACAGTGAGTGGCATTATTAAAAGACTATAAATAAAAAGGCACAAGCATTTTCCTTTTTTTGAAGTATTTCACAAGATCTTTTCATAAAAGGTGAGATATACAAAACATTGCTTATTCCATTATGTATTTATATTCTTAAAAGAAAACTCTAATGGTCTACTTCAACTTAACTTCAATTGTTAACTTTGACAAATTTCAGTAATGTCAAACAAAGTCATAAACAGCTGCAGCAACCTCAGCTGAGTAAAGACAAATATTATTTATCTACTTTATATTT